GCCTGCCTTACTTTTCCGATCCTGGTTTTGACATCCTAGTCTGTGCTGCCACCGCCTGTAGTTGAAACGATGCTGCCTAAGTAGGTGAAAGAGACAATTTCCTTTAGACTCTTCCCATTGATGGTGATTGGTGCTTGCTGTTTTTGTTGTGTGTCTTCTCTATGTTCACCTGAAGCAAGTCCTATCTTCGCTGCCCTACCTCTTCTGCTAACATGTTGGTTTTCACCTGTAGATCAAGTTTGTGTGACATAAGACATTAGACATAAAATATCATCGGCGAAATCCGAATTTTCTAGGGTCTTTTCAATGGTCAAATAGCGTATACCTCCCTTCTCTCAGTTTATATCAAAGCGGTTATTTGTTTAAAGTGATAGTTACTCGCTCATTGAATTATACCAAAACAGTTTAATGTTTTAAGATAATGTATCTAAAAAAAATATATTCTTAAGAAAAACTTTATAGATCCCTATTTATTAATTATGCTTGTTTGTCGGATGGCAACACTGCTTGTGACTTATATCAAAATCCGGTGGTTATTCAGATTTGGTGTATCAAACTGGCATTGGAATTCTTTATGGATAAATCTTTCCAGAAACACGTTCTGCAGTTTTTGAAGCTGATAACCATTACCATAAATTAAGATATTGTTATTCTTTCTATCTATTAGTTTCTCTTTCACAATACTAATTTTCTCAGGTAGCATTCATCACAAACTGACATCAGTTGGAGAACCAGTGAAAATCTGGGAACACTGAACAACTACTTCATCCCATACTGGGATGAAATCCCCCCCATTAACCTCAAAATACATTAAAATACTTGATATAAACAAAAAATATGCTTGATGAGACTTTTGTTTATTGCCCTGCTTTCTTGCGGTTCTGTAGTTACGTGTGAACTTAAATAGCCAGTGATCTTGTTACAAGTAGCCAACAAATCACTTACTGTATTATACTTTTTTTAATGTATCTATTCACTTTCAAAATGAAAGACTAAATCTTTAAGAGTTTGTTTACATACTACTATATAAACTGTTTCAGTTAAGATTAAGGTAGAATCCATTGGTTTCTTTATCAAATTATATCGTGAAGTACCCTTCTGTTACTGGAGTAGTATACTGATTCTTATAATTATTCCCATGGCTTTTTGATGTTATGGTTTACCAAGTCATTATCGCTTTTTAACAGTTGGTCAGTGAGAGTTCTACGGCGATTAAGATTATTGCGATCGTACCTATATTCGATTTAGCCTCATAAAAGAAGGAAAGTTAATGAAAGCAAGTTGCGCGTTGATAAACTACCTTAATTTTTAGTAATATATAATTGATACGGATTTTCAACACCAACGTCAAGTCAGTGCTTCTGTGTGGCTCAGAGACTTGGCGCGTTACAAAAGGCATTTCCAATAAACTACAGACATTCATCAACAACTGCTTACGCTCACTCGCTACTGAAGATCAGATGGCCAGAATAATGAGAATAAGCAACAAGGAGCTCTGGGAACGAACCAACCAAGAACCTATCACCCAACATATATGCAGGAGGAAGTGGAGATGGATTAGGCATGCACTGAGAAGGCCGACTGAGGACATCACGCGTCAGGCCAGTTGCTCGAGTGGAATCCCCATGGGAAGCGACGAGTTGGACGTCCAAGGGTGACATGGAGGAGGTCGTGTGAGGAAGAAATGAGAGCTTGTGGGCTGTCGTAGTGACAGGTTCGAAAGATTGCAGAGAAGAGAGTGCACTGGAGACGTGCTACTGAAGGTGTATGTTCCACTAGGAACCCAAGGGACTAATAATAATAATTGTTTTTATATCATACCGTTGTTGATTGGACCGAACTGATCGGTTTCTATTGGCATAGGACGAAATATGCATCCTGGATTCCACTGCTATCGTAAGAGCACAGATAATATCCAGGCAGCCACACAGGATCCCATATGCCAATAGAGACCGATTAACTCGGTCCAATCCACGACGGTATCATATAAAAACAATTATACTAAAAACTATACCCGTCGCACAAGAAACGGCTATCGTGGCTCGGTGGTGTAGTGGGTAACACTCTGGCTTCTGAAGCGATAGTTCCCGAGTCCGAATCCCGGTGGGAACAACATCTCACCAGGAAGCAGGTACATCCATCTGATAAGTCCCAAGTAGGACGGAATGAGCATCATGGATTCCACGGCTAGCCACTATCCATCGTTACTACGTTCATCCTGGTAGTGATTTCATAAAAAGTTAGCAAAAAGACTAGTCTTTACAATGTTCAGTTGCTAAGCTGTTACTCTCATATCTGACTCTAATCTTTATACGGAGTTTCCAAGGTACTGTCGTTTTTCTTATTATTCCAAACATGCTTGCTCCACCTGCACCAGACAAAGCAAAAACGGGAGATTATGCAAAGTATAAACGGGAATGTTGTAGTAACAATAAAATAACAGATTCAAAATATGTAGGGAGGTGACAGACTGTTCTATATCAAGACGATGAAATAAGCAGGATATGTTAAACATAGTAAGTTAACAACTTGACGAAGATAGGACAAAAATTTAATTTATCTATGAAATTAGCGATTTAGGGGATAATGAATCAAGCAGTGAAATCTTTCTTTATACACTACAGTCCCAGCTGCAAATCGTCATTTTTTGCTTACCCAATAATTCCGTACTGAAGATCCAAACTTAATATACATTCAGGGTATATATCAGATAATCTTGGTTTACCAAAACTGTGATAGAATATATTTCCATCTTTTATTGATTTATTACATAGTAAAGGAACAGTATTGTTTACTGGATTACGTTTCGGACATAAGTTATTATCCATAGTCATATCAAGATAACTGCATAACTGTGAGATATCCTTTATACAATCCCACTTACATCCCACCCCCTCTTCATGATATAAGTAGTAAGAATTTTTACATATCCGGAACAGATGCTGAGCCATTTCCATCGCATGTATTTGGTGTTGATTCGATTAGCAAAGATTCAGTTATCAACCTCTCCCTTCACTCTGCTATGTTAGTTTTAAGTATTTTCACTCTGTCACAGCCTATTCTGTGGTTGTGTTTAATCGCATGCATAACTATGACTGAGCTTTTCTCTAAATTCTTTACTAGGATCTACCAGTTTTGAACTAGCTAGGTTTTTGTACTCGGATAGCTTAATTAATCCTGGTCGGCTACTTTGCCCTATGTAATGAACCTGGCAATAGTTGCAAAGATTTGGTAAACCAAGTTATTCTGCTCAGTTAGATCAATAGGATCTTTTAACCTACAAAGCTTATTTCGAAGTGAGTTTGTAGGCCTAAATGCTACTCTGATCCCAACCTTAATGAGAACCCTACGTAGTGTTTTCGAGGTGCCTTCTTCGTATGGTAATACTGTAGAGGTTTTGAATTCTCTCTTCACAGCATTGCCGTTACTATTATTAACATCATTATCAACACTATTATTACTATTGTTGCTGTTATTACCACTGTTATTACTACTACTAATAACTGTTACCGATATTTTCCCTACTATTCCTAAGGAGCTTATCAATTAATTTGGGAGGGTAATTGTTGATGATTAGGGCGTAGCTGGTTTCTTGTTTTAGATTTTCTGTTTTACTAGTAAGTTTTTTGGCCCTGTTACTTAGACACTTTACTAAGCCAACTTTAACTGACATAGGGTGGGACGATTTGAAGTCTAAGTAATGGTTTGGATGTGAAGGTTTTCTGTAGATAGTAGTGTCTAAACCACCACTTTATTTCCGTTTTATTCTGTAATCCAACAGCATGAATTACCCTTAACTATTTTCTAATTCATAGGTGAATTGGATTGCGTTGACTATTGAAGTTACATGTGTGAAGAAATCATCTATGTTCTCCTATTTCAACACTGTAAACCTGTCATCTACATATCAAAACCATATTTTGGGAGCTGGACTAAATTTCTCTATATCCATCCGTTCCCAACTATCCATAAATATGTCAGCCACAATAGAGGATATATTGGTGATCCCATGGCTACACCTTCTGTTTGTTTGTATATTTTATTCTGAAACTTAACGATTGTGGAGGTTATGCGTAACTGTTCTCCTACCATGATATCATCTGCTGGTACCTTAGTTTGTAGTGTAAACTCATAGTCAGTATTAAGCTTGTTTCTAACTACTTCCAGAGCCATGCCAATCGGTTTATTAGTATACAAAGTAACTACATCAAAACTAACCATTCTTTCATTATCATCTAATATGTGAGTCAAGCCAAAAGAGTTAGTAAGTCGCGATTTATGACGGTTTCTAATTGGGTTTAGTATCTTCGCCAAATATTCAAATAAGTCATAAGTAGGAGTGTTTCTAAAGTCTACCGTGGGTCTAATAGGATAACCTTGTTTATGAATTTTAATAGTATCATAAATCTCACTGGGATTAATAGTTTTCGGCATTAAATTAAGCTATTTAGACTTACTTAGAAACGGCTTCATTCGGCGTATTAAATCGATCGTGGTTCTTTTAACTTTATTCATGATAGTGTCCATTGGCTTCTTAATTTCTTCGTAAAGTAATACTGTAGAGGCTTTGAATTTTCTCTTCACAGTATTGCCAGTACCATTATTGGCATTATTATTACTATTATTAACACCTGTGTTGTTTAGTAGTCGACCAGGATCAATTAGCCTATCAGAGCACGAAAACCTAGCTAGGTCAAAATTGGGACATTCTTAGTAAGATATGGATCAGAGAAAAGCTCAGCCATAGCTATGCATGCAATTACACACATACATAAGCACATAAACATATGGATTGCATAAAGTGGCTAAACTCCTCAAGAATAACCAAATAATCGTTTTCAACAGATGAGTGGTACACAATATGACATAGCTGATACTCTCTTGAGGATGATTATCTGAAGGCTCTAAATGCAATATACTTATAAACAGAGAGAGAGAGAAAAAGGTTTTACGTATTTACTCATTTTGATAATGTTTTTTTTTTCATTTTTATGATCTAGGTATCCTAAATCGATGTTGGGAAAAATGTTCAATGGTACAATTCCTATAGTTTTAGATACAATGAAACAACATTATTTCATCGATAGAGACGGAACACTATTTAGACATGTACTCAACTTTCTGCGTACTAATAAAGTAAACTTAGATCCAAATTTTACAGAATTAGATCAATTGATTGAAGAAGCAAACTTTTATGGTTTAGATGAAATGATTAATCAATTGAAACAAATTAAAGCTAAATTAAAAAGAAAAGAAATGTATGAAATTAAACAGTTTAGACAACAACAACAACTGCGTGCAGGTGAGAAAGACTTACAGTGTACTCCATCGAAACAATTGAAAATTGATAATCTTAATGAAAATGAAATCACTCAGACTTATAATACAATCAGTATTGATAACGCTACAGAAAATTCATATTTTCAAAATTATTTAACTTTACATCAAAGTGGTGAGTATAAAAATAATCCATCTACTATTCAATTAATGATGTGGGATAATTTTCTTTATATAATGTTAGAAATGAATAAATTCTCACCTCATCAAGGTAGAATTATATTTTCAAACTGTTATAATCACAAATCATTAAAGTGTTTCAATGATTTAAACAATTACTTTACAAATTTCATGTCGAATTCTTATCAAATAGTAGAATGTGAAGATCATTCTGAAATAACATGGTTTATGATGTCAACTTATCATCAGCTTAAATTATGGGAGTTATTATTGAATTATGGATTTGAACTTGTTACCCAGTATAAATTGAAGTTATCAGACAAGAATTGTATTGTTTGTTTATTTCGTCTAAAACAGTAAAATTTCAAGTTGTTATTCATCGAAGACTGACATCAGCTGGAGGAACAAAGGAAACCTGGGAGCACTGGACAGCCGTTTCGTCCTAGTATGGGACTCCTCAGCAGTGCGCACCCACGACCCCACCAGCAGGGATGACATTGGGTGGCGGTTTGCGCTATATCGTGAGCTAACAGAAGTTAGAAATATGGAGCATTGGATTCCGACTCAGTGGCTCAATGGTAACGCGCTGGCCAAGGAACATGAAGGTCACTGGTTCAATTCCTGCTGGTGAGGTCATGGGTGCGCACTGTTGAGGAGTCCCATACTAGGACGAAACGGCTGTCCAGTGCTCCCAGGTTTCCTTTTTTCCTCCAACTGATGCCAGTCTCCGATGAATAACAACTTGAAATATTTCCAGATCTCCACAACTCCCTCAAAATTTAGTAAAATTTCAGTGGAATTCTGTCGGTCTTTTATGAATTACAAAGCATGAAGATAAATATTCTTTGTTTAAATATAGTCTATTATTTAATTTACCAATTTCATTTATTTTACAGTCAATAAATAGTATAATTATGATTGATATATATATGTAAATAATTTATTGAAATATATAGTTTTGAAGGAAAAAAGATGGTTTGTGAAGTGTTTCTTTTGCATCACTGAAGCTTATTAAAAGTTTTGTATGCTTCTTTAAAACTAGAGGTTCAAAATTCACTTTGTACATGCAACATAAAGGAAAATACAGTCACGATTGGACAAAAAATTGAATTTAACGTTTGTTATCTAAATTTCTATTTAATCTATAGATTAAGGATTGTGTGAATTAGCTTTAGTCGACAACCTATAGTAATGAATGTAGAGAATAAACTGCTAGTATTTTGGTAAGAATCCAGCCAGTAGTCCAAAGTGTTTAGTGAATCGATCAATAGAAACGACTGATTTTTCTATAATGCATTTTACATCCTTCAGCTATGTTCAACACAAATATATCCCGAAGTTAATTAACATTAACTGTGATATGCTTTTGTCTACGGTACCATTCAAACATAATTAGATTTATAAGAAGAAAATATTTCATCAGTGGTGCAGCAAAATCATCCTTTTGGTAAGAAAAAATACTAACCTATACAGCGAAAAACAGTACATCACAGACAACGGTTGTATACCAACAACAAAAAGAAATTATTCCAAACAAACATGATCAAATATTAATATGTAAACGCAACATAAAACAATAAGAGTGCCTTAAGTAGATAGATAAATCAAAACAACGACAATGATCAGAGTAAAACAAAAGTCCAAAGGAGGCAAAACAGGCCATCGAAGAAAACTACAAACCACAATAAAAGGGCATGAAGTAAGTGATACAAAATAACTGTACCAGAAATGTTAAAAGCAACACCAAAACTGATAAGAAATCAAACAATGAAAACAGAAATAAGAACAATGAGATTATGTCCATATACATGTATAAAAATACGACAATAAGCTCGAATGTAGCTGCAAATATTATCCAAAAGGAATTTTCCAATCAAGTTAAACGAAAGTGGATGTCGTAAATTTAAACAAGTATTCTCACTGGCCTCCGACTCAAACTTCCGTTAGGCATAAATATTTCTTAGCCATCGGAAACGGAAACCCACTCTCTTTAAAATAATTATGTCCTATCAGATTCCCGAGTTCTCAGAAACCACAAAAATTCTTGCAGATGGTAAGCGTCATTTTAGGATTTGTCCTGGTGAGAACTTGACAGACGCAAAGACCAATCACTAATTATTCGAACTTGTTATATACCCACGAATACGAGACCAAGGAAGAACACGATAGCGTAGTCGGATGGAATAGTATATTTGGATGGTTATGCCAAAATACCGATGCGTTCCAACTAACTGGCTAGAGAGTCGAATACGAGCAATGCAACGTAACACGACAGCGTGCCAAATGGCGAGGATGCTTGACCGGGTGCCTTCAGCTTAGCGAGTCCAGTTAAACTATCAAGGTCAGCATCAATGTCGAAAGTCGTCAAACCCTAGGCTATTGATTTTGGGGAAGTGTATGACGCTACAGATCACTCCCCCCCTAGTGGGTTCGTGAGGACCCTAAGACGATACCAGCCGGAAGTAAAAACCCAGTGGTTTCTCCACTGGTAAAACTCTTCCGATGGGCTCACTGCGTGAGGTGGCCCCTGGTTGTCTGAACCTTATTCTAGGGTGTCGTGGCGATTAAATAAATAAAATACAATAAATGAATTGTACGTCGGTCGCGGTCATCTGTTCCTTTCGACGTTCCGTCCAGTGCTCGTTGCACCTGGAATATAAATAAAAGTCTTTAATACCACGAAAACGTTGCGTAAAAATGGAATTATTTATATATAAACATATCGAAAAATAAAAATTTACGCTTATCTTCACCGTTTTTTTTAAAATTTCATTACATGGTAAAAAAAATTGATATAAAAAGGCAAAGTGTACGAGGGTTTGTATTGATGTATCGGGTAGCAGTCCGGAGTTGTTTTGGCGTTGAGCCTTCGGTAATCACCGGTTGGACGCCAGTCGTTGCTATCCTTTTTGGGAACCATGTGCAATGGCGATGCCCAAGGACTGTTTGACGGTCTGATAATGCCCAGTCGAGCATGTGGTCGAATTCATTTTTCGCCGTTTTGAGCTTATCGGGGGCTAAACGGCGCGCTTTGGATGCCACAGGTGGACCTGTGGTTGTGACGTGATGCATAACATTGCTGGTTATGCACGGAAGAGTGTGCTTCGGTTGCTGTAACTCTGGATATTTCTCCAGAACTGCCTGGTAGGACGCGTCGCCTGATTGTTTAGTCCTAACGATGGCTAAACTCGGACCTACATAGGTGGTGCCGCCAATAGATAACTTTGTGCTGTTATCTATCAGTCGTCGACGGCGAGCATCTACGAGTAGATCGTAATGGTTTAGCAAATCTATGCCAATGATGGGCATAGAGACGTCTGCCAGGAGGAAAATCCAGTGGATAGGTTTGCGTAAACCTAAGTTGAGGTAGGCATACCGTCTCCCGAATGTCGCGATTGCCTTGCCGTTGGCTGCTTGAAGATTGAAGGATGGGTCAAGATGACGCTCCTTTGTCGTTGCTGGAAGAACGCTAACTTCTGCGCCGGTGTCGACGAGGTAGCGGACTTTCGTTTTAATGTCGGTGACGTAGAGCAAACGGCTTTTTCCGCCGGCTACGGTTGCCGTGAGCACGTGCCGGCGTGACCGTTTCCCGAGTTTGGTCCTTCTTAAAACGGCATGGTTTACGACATTTTCTGGCTTCATCCCCGTAAGTGTTATGAAACCAGCACCATTCAGGGTTTTCCACCCTGTTGGGTTTCGTTTTAGGGCTACCACGCGACTTGCTGCGATGCGCCAAGGTGCGTTTCTGTGAAGTGCTACGTGATCTAGGACTTCGAGATCGTAGCAACCGTTTCACAGAGTTGCACAACTTGGTCACCTCCGAATCCTGGCGCTCTGGTTTGTCGCAGATAGAATATACGTTGGAGACGGGTCTGCTGGATATCTCCAGTATTTTATCTGCTGAGGCTGCCAGGTCGTCGAGTGGGACTGACTGGAGTGTCACCAACACGGTTTGCACCGGTTGTGGTAGTTTCGAGAGAAATAGTTCTCGGAAGAAACCATCGTCAAATGTTCGTGCACCGATTACTTCTCGCATGCGTGCGAGGACTTCAGTAGCTGAGTGGCTGCCTAGCTCGATGTTACGAAGCAATTCGTCTAGACGTTGGCGATCTGTGAGATCGCTTTTCTTCAAGAGTGCGGCCTTTAGAAGTGCATAAGGGTCACTTACTTCAGGATTAAACATGTTTGCTGTAACATACCTGTTTAATTCTCGCGGTAGTGAACGTATGACAGCAAGAAATCGAGATGAGGATCTGAGACACCCTGTTCTCGAAAATCGGCCTCGGCATACAGAAACCATGTTTCTGCATTGTCTGGCCAATATGGCACGAGTTGGATCGTGTTCGTAGTCGGCTTAATACGAATAAGCTTGGGAGTGTGGTCGGACATGAGAAAGTGTAGTAAATGGATATATAAATGTTATCGAAATGAAAACAATAAACAAATATAAAATGGAACAGGCTCACCAATTCAATACTTGTTATTGGTCGGGATATGTGATCACGTGGGAATTTGATCACGTCGGGCTCACCAATTTAGGATTTGTCCTGGTGCGAACTTGACAGACGCAAAGACCAATCACTAATTATTCGAACTTGTTATATACCCACGAATACGAGACCAAGGAAGAACACGATAGCGTAGTCGGATGGAATAGTATATTTGGATGGTTATGCCAAAATACCGATGCGTTCCAACTAACTGGCTAGAGAGTCGAATACGAGCAATGCAACGTAACACGACAGCGTGCCAAATGGCGAGGATGCTTGACCGGGTGCCTTCAGCTTAGCGAGTCCAGTTAAACTATCAAGGTCAGCATCGATGTCGACAGTCGTTAAACCCTAGGCTATTGACTTTGGGGGGGTGTGATGCTACATCATCATACAGAAGAGTCCTGTCTAAAGCCTTTTTTATCGTAGGCTTTCCCAAGCCAAGTGGCTTTCAGTGGTTGACTTCTCTATTATTTCCAAAGTAGATCGCAGAATGTCATAGTCCCTGATCACCCCCTCCACCCTGACTGGCGCTCTCATCGACAGGCTTCACTAAGTCAATGGAGCTTGGTTCCAAACTATCTTCTTCTAATAACACCTATGCTGACCACATACCACTGTGCGCTAAAAGTCCAGAAACCTGAGAATGGAACCGATAAAAAACTGTCAGTAGACTCAGAAGGTCCTCTAGTTGCGCCAAGATTACACAACCTCAGAGATCAACAGGATCAGGACCAGAACAACAAGAAAAGTAAGGTGCGGAAATGGATCACATAGTTTACTGGTACCGTGCACATCAAACCGCCTACAATGAAAGCAGTATGAGTACAATGGCGTTCACAAATTTTTAGCCAGTGGGTAGACCTTATG